GCAGAGATGCGAGCAGAGAGGGGTCTCGGTTCCGCTGCCCCGAGGGTGTCTGTGCCCATTTCTCCGTGCTGCGTCGCCCCTGCAAGTCCCCAGGGCACCCGCAATCTTAAATTCTCCCGAGAAGCTGGACTTCGAAGTCTTTGAGTCTTCTCCACCTGACCCTGCTCACCCCAGTTCTCTTTTCTCCTCAGATGTATCTCCGGCTTCTTCCAGCTCCGGGACACTCATCCAGTACACCCCCGACTCTGCCACTAGCCCCACCGCAGAGCGCCCCTCTCCCCATCCCTCTTTCCAGAAGGTCAAAGAGGAAGGTGAGGGTGTGGTGAAGAAGGCCAAGAGCCGCACAGCCTTTTCCCAGGAGCAGCTGCAAATCCTGCACCAGCGGTTCCAGAGCCAGAAGTACCTCAGCCCCCAGCAGATCCGGGAGCTGGCTGCTGCCCTGGGGCTCACCTACAAGCAGGTAAACATCTTGCTCTGAGTACCTGAGTTGCATCCCTGGTGGGAAGTGATCCTTGCAAGCAGGGGTGGTTTTCCTTTTTTCTTGACCCCAGAGATGAGTTTCTTTCGTGGTCTTGTTTATGCCATTGCTTACGTGAGAGAGCAGAGGGTGTGAAAACTTATGACTCAGTCTTCCTCTTATGTTTGGTTCCAGCACTATCCACCCACTCTGCGCAGGTGTTTGAAAGCGTATACAGAGCAGGGCTATGCAGAGTCAGGTTACTGTTCTGTGTGGACATGTGTTGTCTCTGAATGTGAAAAGTCAGATACTTGCACTGCTGTGCAAGTTTCCTTTCTTAGTCAGAGTGGCACCTGGGTCTCTCCCTAGAGAGCGGGTCCTTGCCCCACCAGCTACTCGTGTGTGACTGAAGGAATGACTCACTCCTGAGTCAGCACTGATCTTGGCGCAGCAGTGAGATGCTGCTGCTGTATAAGGTGTGTTTCTGCAATTGTCTTGGCCCGTCTTTCAGGTAGGGTTTTTGATGTCATGAAAGATCCCATGGTGATCTGAGAAGTAAGAATGTTAGTTTTCAAGTCTCAGCTCTGTGATTCTATGGCTACCTGGGTCTGCTGCATGTTGTTAGCTGCTGAAATTAAGTACAGTGTTAGAAGCCAAGAAGGCAAAACATCTTTAGGCTGTGTAGAAAGGTCTGAGAATGAATTTTAAATGCCCTATGTCCTTTCCCCATCACTTCTAGGTGAAAACATGGTTTCAGAATCAACGGATGAAATTTAAACGTTGCCAGAAGGAGAGCCAGTGGGTGGAAAAAGGGGTGTATCTACCACAGGTGAGAGAATTCCTCCTTCCCCCATCACCACCAGTCACGGTTCCTCCAGTGTGTGGGGAGAAGTGCATCATGTCCAACCTGCTAACTCAAACAATGCACAGGACTCGATATTATCCAGCCAGTTTTATTTCTTGTAATAGGGCTTACCGTGGCATCTATTTTAAGCCTGCCCTGGCACTGAAAGAGCTTTGTTTCCAGTCTACTAATCTCCCAGTTGAGACCAGATAGAAAACAAAATAGCCAAAGAGAGCCAGCAAGGCCACTCATGCTGGTTTTCTCCCCAGCATGGTGCTCCCAGACCTGTTGAGTTGGAGATTACTAACTTAAGATCTTGTCATCTCCACTATTACTAGTCTATAGCGAGGACAATGAGTATGAAAAAGACACTATTGTTTGGCTTGGGGAGGGGCAGGGGAGAAAGGAGGACCCATCCAAAAGAATGGGCACAGTTGGTGTGGTGCTCTGCATTACTGAACAGCCTTATCTGTCTCTCCTAGAACGGGTTTCATCAGGCTGCGTACCTGGATATAACCCCCACATTTCACCAGGCCTTCCCGGTTGGTGCCAGCAGAAACCTCCAGGCTGTGACCAACGTGCACCAGGCTTACAGCAGTGGCCAGACTTATGGGAATGGGCAGAGCCTGTACTCGTTCATGGCTGTGGAGGATGAGGGGCTCTTTGGAAAAGATGGGACAAGCTGCAATACCCAGCAAGCCATGGGTTTATTAAGCCAGCAGATGAACTTCTATCACAGCTACCCTGCCGATATGGATTATGTCAGCCTGGAGTCGGAACACACCTATGGCTTCCAGAGCACCTCTGACAGCGTCACACCATTCTCAAGCTCTCCTGTACGGCATCAGTACCAGGCCCCTTGGCATCCCCTGGGGGCCCAGAGTGGTTATGAGTCTCAGGTCTAGGTATTTTTCCTCCCTTCTCCTGTGTTCTCTCATGGGGTTTCTAGGGTCTTGACTCAGGGATCCAGTTTCTATTCCTTTCTCTTGCCCCTCTTCCCCTACTCCTGTTTTAACCATTGGTTAAAAAAGTTAAAGCCTTAAAGTTAGGTTTTTTAATTGGTTAAAGCAGGGCTCAGCACCCTGCTGCCTTGGGCTAGTTTTCTGTTTAAAGGCACCTGTCTGTTCATAGCTAACCCTTGGCAAGGGTGTTTTGTGTGCAGATAGGTGAAACTTCATTCATGGAGGGGAATGTGCAATGCCACAGCCAGGAGCAGCAGAGGTGGTAAAGGTCTGTGTTTGCTGTCCAAGTCTCACCTTCCTCTGCTGCCTCTTTCGCAGGTGATCTCTGATCCTTGCCCTGTGTGTCTTGCAGCAGAGCTTTGCTGGAGAAGAAAACCCTGTACTTCAGCATATTTCTGCTAGAAATAACCTGTTGTAGCCCAGAATCTTTCCTGCTGTCTTGCCTATTTCTGTTGCTACCTCAGTTAACTGCAATAGGTTCTTCATCTGCATCCTCTCCTCCCTCACCAAAAAGCTACATGAGATCATCTGATTTCAGATTACTTGATTCAGCTGCTTGATCAGCAGCTCCTCCTGGAGGGGTCAGCACCTGCCTCTCTTGCCTGCTGCCCTCCTGTGTACATAGGGCAGTTGAGAGGAGGGGAGGAGCAGAGGAGAGAAAGTGGGGTAGAGTATTGCCCATATCTCACATGGGAACATTGGTTTCCAAAGCTGCTAACTTACTTGTGCCTGTCAGCTCGTTCAGGATGGTGTCTCTGGGGCTGTCCCCACCCAGTTTAGATCTTGCCTTTCTACACCTCCCTGCTGAGAGACTGTTGGCTTGTCCCAACCTGCAAATCGCAGCAGAGGGTAGCCCAAAGTGCCATTGTTGGAAGTGTGAGGAGCGGCTGTGTGTAGTCATCTTTGGAGCGGTGAGAACAGTCTGCTTATCTGTACATGTTGGTCCCCTAGCACTTCACAAACACAGCACTGCTACAGTGCAGCTTTCTCTGGGGTAGAGGTGGGCAGCTAGGTAAAGGACTCAGTTACTTTAAAGGTGATGTTTAATGTCACTTATCCTGGAACCTGGATGTTGGGGGCTAGGATTCCTGTTGCATCCCTGTGGAGTTGTCATCCAAGGGGCTAGAGCAGGATGGTTCCCCACTCTCTTGTCTAATCCCAGTTTTAAGAGTGTAAGCTTGTAGGACTTTTGTCCCTTCCTCAGGGCTTAGTTGGATCTCCTCCGTGTTCTGCTGAAAAGGGCACTGGCTGCCTCATCTGACATAAGTACCCAAGCTCTGGGGGAGGCGAGAAGTTTAGAGAAACCTAGTTAGGCAAAACGAGGAAAATGCCAATTAAAATTTTTGGGTCTTTTTTAAATAATTGAATCATCCGTTCCAGTATGGAGAAACTGGAAGTCGGCTCCAACCTATGTGAAACTGACTTTTTTTACAAGATGTGGAGTTGCAGAGTCCAGTCTGCCACTGCCCAAGAATACAAAATGGCATGAGCTGGCGAGAGTAAATGAGATGGTAAAAGCGTAAATATTTCTGTGGTAGAGGTTTTTTTTGTGGTTAGTGCAGAATTTTTAATGCAACCCTGTCTTAAAATGTCTGCACAAGGGTTGTATGTTGTAGCTAAACTTTCACTGCAAACGAAGCGAATGTTTGTTGTTGTTCAAGAATAATTTTTCTTAGTGTATTTTCTTGCAGTGATCTCAGCATGTTTTATGTTATGTGCATGTTGTCTTTTATTACTTTGTTTCTGCTTAATGTTCTTACAAACTTGTTTGAATTGAAATAAATTACTTTATTTTAATGTGGAAACTGTGTCTCCAGCTTGCATTGGAACAGCCTGCTACGAGAATGGTTATTCTGCACAGGTTAGACCAGCAGTACTGAGGAAAGGAGGGAAAAAGTAACCCTACTGTGTTTCTCCCAGACGTATGATCAAGGTATTGTTTAAAAGGAGTAGGTCACAGAAGTCCATCAGCCTTGCTTTTAACATGCAGGTGCCTTGCCTAGTGCAAGGGGGGGATCTCCAGGGGTAGGCAACTAGACTGCCAGCTGCTGGCTTGCAGTAATGTGCAGCCCTGTAACATGCTTGTATTAGTCCTTAAACTGCAGTGCTTCAAAATAAATATTTAAGTATGAAGGTAGGAGCAAAAGAAAGTGTCTTTTGAGATTGTGTGGCCACCTGCTGCTGCTCCAGAAGGTCGCAGTTAGAGGTCTGGAAGTCCTGCCTCATTGAGGCTGCAGCTCTCTTGGGGTTCTTGTGCTAACCTCAAATGGCAGCAGAAGTTTGTGCGTAAGTAACTGAATCCTGCCTCCAGCACTGAAACAAAGATTTATTTCTTTCCCTGCTTTGCCCCAAGACTGTGTTTATCTCCTCTTAGTAGCTGGGAGCAACATTTCGAAGGTACTGGAACATGCGAGACACACATTGGGACCGAAGCAGTGCATCAGCAGCCACCAATTTAAGAGACTTGGTGAACCTCTTTCTGCTCAGTGAGCTTTGATTCATCAGAGCCTTGCTTTCCTTAGATACCTCTTAGTTTGAACACCTGTGCAACTTGCATGCAGCCAAGGGCTGCAAGTGCCCATGGACAGCAGCACTAATGGAACAAAGCAGCTGTCTGTGTTCAATGGCTGATGCTACTGCTGTGTCAGCAGAGCAAAGCTCCTGTTAATAGCCATAGTTTAAACTAGCAAAAATGATCTGTTTGGGTTTAATCCCAGGTTCCTTAAACTACAGTACACCGCCAAAGCTTTTAATTTGCCTGAAAGGGGTAGTTCAATAGGTACTCCCACTGAGCACAATTAGCTAAACTGGCAGCTGACTGCTCAGGCTCAAACTACCACAGGTCCTTTGCTGACCAGAACCTGCTTGTGTGGGTGCCAAAGCATGTCTGCTTTCCTTTTGCAATACCGTAACGCAGTCACTTCCTAGGGTGAGGTGGAATATGTGCAGGAAGGAGAGGGAGTGGAGGTCTGAGCCTGTAGAGGATGAAGAAAGGCTGCATTGTCCTTGCATGTGTTGCCAACCTTCAACAGTAGAAATACATAAATCTGGCCTGGAAGAGGGGGGAAATGCCAGGTTCACAGGGTTTTCTGTATTACAAAACAGGTCCTCTCTCATCCTGACTTGAGTCTCATGCCCCAACATCAGTTTGGATGAATTCTAGGTAATGCTTTAGTAGTAGTACTGTTAATTTCAAAAATTCCCTTGAAAAAACAAAGCTGAATCATATACCTATAAAAGTCATAGATACTCAAGTCTTGCCTTTCAGCTTTAAAATTAGCAACTTCCAGTTTGTTTGTTTTTTTTAAGATGCAAACTTAAGCTCTAAAGAAATACACAAGCTGTGCAGGTCTTTGCAGAATGATTGCAGAGGACACTTGCTACAGATTACCTGTGTTGCCTGGGCATGTTTCTCTTCCATGTTTCTGCCACAAGGGTAAGGAGGTAGCCAAAGCTCTGCTGGCAGATGTCCTCCTGCGGAAGTAGATATTGTTGCTAAAATAGCTCTGGGACTGAGATGACTTGCTCTGCATGCTGTGGTTTGTGTTCCTGCATTTACCATGGGACCATTCTACAGAAATACAGTGTTCCTTCATGGGTGTGTTATTCCCCTGGTTGCTCAGCCTGGGTTGCACACAGGTTTGGCAAGCACATGTAGCTGCAGAGCTGGAGGGAACATGCAGAGTGACTGTTGTTTGGAATTTTGGTGAGCGGGCTGGAAAAGACTGCTAGTAGATCAGGAAGGGTTTCTAGAAGCTGTAGAATGAAGTAGGACTCTGTCTTTCCACAGTGCTGGAGATCTCCTCTGTTACCTTGACATGCCTGAGTCACCTCACCATGTGAAACAGCTGCACAGCTAATTGCAGCACTACTACCAACATGGTGGAGCTGCAATTAATCCCTCCAGACTCATACTTCCAAAAGGGTTTATACCAGTTCCTCAGAGGAAGTAAGTACATGTCAGCAAACGCCCTTTCTGCTGGAATACGTTACATCTCTGTTAGGACTGCTGCTTCTTATGACTGCTGTCTAACAGTGACTTCTGCACATTGCAGACATGATTCGCTTTGCCAGCAAATCTTTTTAGCATCAAGCTGTAAGCTCATGTGGAGCTCTTTATATGTATTATAGCTTGTGGGAATACACTGCACTTTCACAGTATCTCTGCAGTGTCAACACTCCAGTTTGTCAACGCTGCAGATGTAGCTCCAGTGGTGCAGAGAATCCCACCCAAACAGAAGAAATTAGATCTAGTACAGACTATGTAGACCAAGGTTTATTCTCGAGTTTACTGGGTTCCAGCCTTTGCTGTCCCTTAGGCAAAATACCAAGCAAGTAGAGTGGTGCAGGCAACCTCATTCCTTGCTCTCTGTGTCAATGTGGCCTGCAGCAATGTCTTACAAGCTGCACGTTTCTTCCAAGTGGCCCATGAGCAAGGGCTCACAGCCCCAGTTGCCTCTCCAGTGCAGATAAAAGGTATGATCTTTGCTTTAATAGGCTCTTCCCTACAGGCATCTGTAAACATTATATTTAGTTATCTAACTACACTGCATGACTCAAATGCTGAGCTAACAGGGTTTCGGAAATTTTCAGTAAAGCATTGCCACACATCTCTTGCTTGGCCCATCATCAGTGGCCAGCAGCACCTTGGCTGATTCTGAGCTGTCAAGAGGCATGAAGAATCCAAAATCATGGCACTGGTCTTAGATTAAAAAAAAAAAAAAAGAAGTTTTTCTTTTCCTGTGAGGGCCATGTTACCTTCATCCTGTCCAAAGTTTTGAAGAGCACCCTCAGGTCATATCTGTGAATCTCTTTCATAATCAGGCTAGAACTAATTTCTCACGTTTAATGGAAGCACATCTGCTTGCAGACAGGGTGTGTCTCTAGCAGCTGGGCTGTGTCTGAATCACTAAATCTTTTACAAATTACAACATTGGGACTGC